ATGCTATACATGCATGCTACCACTATACACATGCTATACATGCATGCTACCACTATACACTCAGACTCGCGCTCACGCAAGAAATCTTACAGCAAATCTTTATAAATTCATTATAAACATAAAATTGGCTACGTCAAAAGTGTTGGACTGCAAACCCTACAGACTATTTACAAGGTAATAATACTGCTACATACGTGTAAGTGCGTGTGCATGTGTGTGCAGACTCGTCTCAAATTGAAAATCTCACTCCAGCCAGCTGACCAAAGTTGGGAACCCTGATGCTAATTCTTTGTAAAAGCTACTGCTATGCACATGTCTCTGCTATGCACACCAGGCAATTCAATGCAAAGCTGCATTTATGAAACAGCAAGAAATTGATTAGCATAGGTGGGGCAAGCTTACGTTTTAAAGCAGGGATCTCCAGACATGAGTGTCATCCCAATGGTGACCTGCGTAAAGGGAACATGAGCAAAAGATTAATCTCAGGCGTGTGGACAAACCCAGGCCCCTCTGCGGGAGACGTATCTGCCACATGAAGACGGGAACATACACCCACGACCCAATGGGGCTTGAGACTATCACTTATGGTCTGACACACATGGTCTGTTCTAATCTGCCCCGGTGTGTGTCACAGAACCCTGGTTGTGATGCCATACTCGGGAGACAGGGGGCGCTCTACCTTGAGGATTGAGTTGTCCTGCCGAGTGTTCTTGGTGTCATAGCCCTCCAGCAAGCAGCAGCGCACCGTGGAGCCCGAACCAGCGAACTCCGCCATGTTGAGGTCAGCAAAACCCAGCTGGCGGCATCAAGGGGCACAAAGACGAGAGCGAATGGGGAGAATAAGTAGGACAGATTGAGATAGAGTGAAGGAGAGGGAAGAGGGCGAGAGATAGAAGGATGGTGGGAACAAGGAAGGGAAAAGAGAAGGGGATAATAACAAAAGATGGAGAAGAAAACGTGGGGGAGGAGAAAAGAAGGTATAGAGAGTGTCAGGTTGAGATGTGACATGCAGCTGCGTCACGTTGGAGCCCTCAGGAGAGCAGCACAGAGTGTGATACTGATGGTTTGTGTTCTGTGGTGACCTATGACCCCTCTCGCCCGGTCCAGCCTCCTGCTAACCTTCCTAGCTACAGCCGTCAGGGATGAGAGATGCAATACGGAGTTTGGATCCGGAGAGACCCAAGGAATCACGAGTACATGCGCACACCAGGACACACAGTGACTCCATGGGGGTCAAAGCGCACCAGCCTACTGCCCGGGCAGGAGAAATACGGGTGTGTCAGAGTGGGGAGGGGAGGTTCTTCAAAAATCAGGGAGCTCTGTGATTCTGCCAAGCTGAATTCTGGGCCTTTCCAGTGACAGTGTCGCCACTGTGTCCGGAGCTGGCGCCAGAACCCCTCTTCACGGTCCGCCGGGTCGCGCTGACTCGACGGAACGCGTGGGCCTGTGACCTGGCTGGCAGCAGGAAAAACAAGAAGGTGGGAGCAATGGATGGGGGGGTGTCAGGGACCGGCAAATTGCATCCTGACAGCTTCCTGTTGTCCGCAGAAGTTCATCCACGGGTAAAATGCTTCACGAAGTATCACCACTGTCCAGCAATCCCAGTGTCCACAAAACATCCGCCATTTAAATAAAACAAAGGAATGTGAGATTAATGAGCACGCATGTGTTCCCGAGGTAAATATTTACCAGGGTGTGGATCCGTGCCAGATTCTCAGACCCAGCTTAAAGGCTGAACAACATCTATCATCAAGCTCAAAGCCAGCCATCCACTGAATGTCACTGCATCAGGACCCAGGGGAGCAGCCAGTGTCTTCGGCGTGCCTCAGTGTTGGAAAGTGGCGATGATGACCATCACCTGTTATTCATTAGAGCTCCCCTAAGATCTTACCATTCCAGAAGTAACTACATATCCCAGGATTCCCTGTTCTTTTGAGGATCCCAAGCTCCATTTAGGCTTTACCTGCCAGTTCCCCTAAATCTGCTTAGAACACTAGGCGACTGTTTCATGCCTGACCAAGTGATCTCAACCTGATGACATCTTCATCATGGCGTAACCTCACATTATGACCTGCGTGCAGATCACACAGACAGCCCAAGAGCATTTTGGGTTAGCAAGGGTTCACAAAGCTCAAAAAGAAACGACAGTGTGAAAGAATGCATAATCCTAGCTGGCTGAGGAACATGTTGATAGTTGGCTGAGTAAAATCTTGATGGGTTGACGAACCTTTTTCTCTCATTGTCAGCATTATTGTCAGTCTTATTGTAGATTAATTATTTTATATCAAGAAACAGACATTTTCTCTGAAGCATTTTAGATGAAACGTCATGCTGAAGAAAACAACATCAAAAGGCCAAAGATCAGGCTCCTTCACACAGCCTCCATAACCAGGCCTGATGCCCGACAGCCGGGGAACATAAATCGGTCACAAATAACTAGAGCTGGGTGTGAGGAAAGTTGCTAATGATTTTGAGCAGGAACCCAATCGCATCATCTGCGCTTCCCCGTCCTTCAGGACATAAAGGATGTTCTGCGGCTTTGAGTCCTTGCGGCTGGGCGAGAAGCTTTCACCCTGTCTACAGCAGGCAGCCCTCCTTCTCCTACCACCAGACATAAACACTCAAGTGAGTGATGAGGAGGCTTCAGGAGGTATTGAAAAATGGAAACACACATTTGCTGAGACAAAAAGGAGGGGTCCTCGCTTCCTGACAGCTCCACTCTATTATCCCCACCCCCCCCCGCTTTGAATCCCAGTATCTGAGAGACCCGGAGACAACCTCCAATAAGCTCCACACGGGTGGGGTGTGTATATCTCACGGAGTGCAGTGTGTGGTGGGGAAGGGAGGGGGGTCAGGGCGAGGGGGGGCATCAGTGCTTACTTTTGAAAATGTCTTTCCTCCTTTGAGTTCCTGCAAGGAAAACAGGAAAGGACCAGATGAGTGCAAAACGCTCCAGCCCACGCCAGTCACAAGCCATCATCAGGCATAACGAGCCGCACACATAGGTACTGGAAAGGGCAGATGGGTGCAGAATGTTCCAACCCACTCCAGTCACATGTCAAAAGGTCTCATCAGGCATAACGAGCTACACACAGAAAAACAAGCCCACCATGTAAAGGCAGCGAGATAACAGGCAGGGTGGAGCGGAGGCAGCTACATAACACCAGCCTGAATCAGAATACCGGGAACCCGCCAGGAATGTTGGCCTGCCAAGTCCCTCGTCGCGGCTTAGCGGTAAAAGCCTTTTGCCAGGCAACAGAGGACCAGTGAAAGGCACGGATAGTTTCTGGGGCTGGATTATCATTAGAGATGCATGTATTGGGTAACATATCGGAATCGATAACAGCTGATCCATCCATCCATCCATTTTCTGTAACCGCTTATCCTATTCATGGTCGCGGGGGGTCCGGAGCCCATCCCGGAGGGTACGGGTACAAGGCAGGATATCAGCTGATGTTTGTTAAAGATCAAGACATCGGTCTGATGTGTCAGTCTTGGCCAAAAATGCCAGGCAATATTTAGACTTTCGTTAATATTCAAAGTTAGCAACACCAGATCTAAAGACATGACTAGTGAGATGATGTAGATGACTGCACTGGACGGTCAAGCCTTTTTCCCGGAGTAAAGGACCAGGGGTTTCATCGCTAATTCGCCACTTAGAGCCTTCGCTGACGCCTCACCGCCAGCGTTACGTGATCACACACATTCACAGGATCTTAATGTGTAACGTCACCAGCATCAGTCTCACTACAGCTTTGTGGAACTGAGAGGTTAGCTGGTTATTGGTATCCGTCCAGGACACTGCAGGCATCCGTACACTAACAACACCTGTGTTGTGACTAAGTCCAGCTAAAGGCCACTTTATATTAAAAAAAAAAAAAACAGTAGCTATTTATAAAATGCTAGAAAATTCTGGTAAGAGGCTCACCTTGCGGACAGACACCCGGCACACGCAGGAGTCCAGCACCCCGGTGGTGGGGTTGGCGCTCATCTTGCAGGTGAAGGAGAACCTGTTCTGCCAGCGGACACAGTTCTCCTGGACCTCCTTCCTACAGGGGAGAGCAGGAGCGTCGTCATGATCATTCAAATGTATTTGCATTGATTGATCTTTATCCAAAGCAATACATGTTTTTAAAGAGCAGGTCAGTCAGTTCCGGGAACAAGAGTGAAATCACCCTGCTGTCTCCAGGATTCAAACCAGCAACCTTCTGATTACAGGCACAGTGTCCCAAGCCACTAAGCCACAGACCAGCTCAAACAACAGCGCCCTCGAGAGGCAACCGACAACATCTACCAAGACCCACAAATACACCATTGCAGCCCCTGTTTGTACTGGCAGGCACAGAGCAGCAGCTCGGCTGAACACTGAGGAGGACTGGAGACGGGACGTGTCATTTCCTGCCCGTCCTTTCCCGGAGAAAATGTTTAACGACACAGACAGGCTCCTAAAAGTCTCAGAAGGGGCTCGCTGTTGGACATTTGACCCAGGCACCAGAACTGCTACAGCAGGAAGTGCTCTGGGTGAACACTCCAGGTAAACAGCCAATTGTACAGGTGACCTTCCCAGCATGCTCTGTCACCATGGAGACCGTGAATGCCAACCTGCTGGCAGGGTTTGTTAACACAGACACATGCAAAATGCGGTAGGGGGCAGGAATATGCAGGGGGGGGGGCAGTCTATTTAAAGTGTGTAAAGATAACTGTTTAGCTTAGAAGGCAGTTATGCAGAGCAGCCTTAAAGTCTGAAAGCCCTTTTAACTCCTCCAGAATGCGGCCGCTAAACCTGAAAATCTCCCTCTTGTTGGTTTGACATCTTAAAAGGCTTTTCGTTCATTTCATTTCACTCCCACGCCTTCTTGCATGGGTTCCAGGCATAATGTTCAATGTTTCCGCACAGTTTCTGCATTTTCCTCAGGAAGATATATGTGAGAAGGGAGCATGAACATCTGCTTACAAAATCCTGCTGGGGAAAATGGAATTTTATTGATCAACAGAGTGAAACATGGCAGACTGACAGGGGGGCGATGACAATGTATTCCTTGGATGGCCCTGTTATCCCCCCACCAACACACTCTCTCCACCTCCCCCAATAAAATATGCATTAGAACCCCAGCTTTGTGTGACTTTGTGTCTGAATGTAATTAGGACCAGATCTGTCTGTCCTTCCATGTGCCGCCACTATGCGGCGCTGCTTCAATTTTCATGCGATTTCTCTCAAAATTTGATCAGTTCTAGAGCTTCACCAACACCATGCATCAGCAAAGTCTGAAAATGATCCGTTGAATATTTTTGAGTTATCGTGCTAAAACGCCATCGAGTGTCTGTGGTGGCAGCTGATTTTGGTCTATAGAACATTATATTGCGCGATACCCACCCAGATTCCAACTGGGGGGTGGGCAGGGGGGCATATGGACTGTCCCAGGCAGCACAGGGTACCCTGCAGGGGACAGCATGCCAGTCAGGTGCAAGGCACACATTCCATACTAATCATGTTACATACTATAGATCACATATTCAGAACATCCTGTGACCCACAGTCTGAGAGCCGTTGCTAAGAAAACCCATCATAGATAATAAAACACAATGTAAGCACAGTCAGATTTTTGTATGAACATTCCATCGCCGTGGAAACTGTTTATTTGAAGGAGTCTTAAATAGAGCCAGTCGGTGACATGGGAAGGGCTGCCAGTGACATCAGAGATGCTTCACTGGGGAGCAAGTGAGAGGAGGTGCACGGGGCGTCCGGGAGCGTACGTGTAGATGGGACAGAGCGCACGCGTGGGCTGGAGCACAGCAGGACTGTAATCGCTTACACGCGATTAAAGACGAGTTAGGCAAACGGACATGCTGCTGGAACACTAAACCGGACGCTGTTTCGGCCCAGTGGGTTAGGACTCTGTGCATGTGGTCCGAAGGCCGCTTGCTCAAATCCTAGGGTCGGCAGACTGATTTTACCATTGGGCCCTTGAGCGAGGCCCTTAACCACCAGCTGCTCTAGGGACCCTCTCTCACCCTGACAGGAGCCATTCAGGCACCAGCTACAACCAGCATGAATAAATGTTTAGAAAAGAGGACTTTGTCTCAGTACTGTAATAAGAGAGTAGCTTTGGCATGTCTCCTGGGGACAGTACTGGGTTGCCATGGAGATGTGGACTAGCAGACCTACCTGGAGAGTGGGCGGGGAGTGACAAGGTACTTTAAATAAGCAGTCTTGGCAGGGCTGTCATTTAAAGCCCGGGGAGGACAGTAACGATGACAATGGCGCAACAGCGGAATATCACGGCTCCGCCACTGGGCAGAGATGCCCACAGCACTGGGACAGACGGGCCGGGGCACCCCTGCTGTATGTCAAACAGCCAGCCCAGTCTAAGGTCCGATAAGGTCCTGTCCTGGAGACACGGCAGTGCCCAATCCGCCCACGAGGAAGCATACAGAAACACACCACGCAGCCCAGTGTCCGGGAAAGACGAACAGACTGAAACACAGGCTTTGGCTTTTCAAGCATGATCAATCAATCAGAATAATGGCAAGGCCAATTAATTAGCCAATCAGTTCTCTCCCAGCACGTAAATCAAGTGAGCCAATCATATCCCAGCCAGAATGTAAAAACCCCCGAATGAGCCAATTGGCTCTTTGCTAGCATGTAGAAGCCAAATCAGCTTTCTGGCTGATCTAAAAGCCCAGGAAAGGGACTGCGTTATTACAGTTTTCTTTTTTAATTTAGTTTTTATTTTTATATGGCTTTCAATTTTCATTTGAAATCCAGTTTAGTTTTAGTAATTTTTCACTGCAGATTTATTAGTTCATATTATTTTGTATTTTAAAGATATATTTCTACTTATCTATATATTTTATACATTTTAGCTTCAGTTTAAATTTTAGTAATTTTTTACTTAAATTGTAGAGCTATTTTATGTGTCTGATTTTTGGAGAATCCTACACGAATACACAGCACACATTATGTACTAATGTCCTCAAAATGGGTAAAACATGTTCCAGGTCTTATTAATGGCCAATAAGGATAAACAGATCAGTAATGGAAGGTATTTGGTCTTTTTATTTGATTTCAACTAATTTTGGAAGCAATATTTTTAGTTTGTGTTTAGTTGTGGTTTTTATTTTATTATTATTATTTTAGTTTATTAAAATGTTCACTTGTAGTTGTAGTTTTCATTAACAATAACAGCCCTGTTTCTGAGGGATGACAGACTAGTGGAAAACAAAGGCAGAGCCAGCAGAGGCCTGTGTCACGCTGCCGTGGCGATGGACATATCAGGCAGGGCGGGGCTGGGTCATGTGGCACGTAAGTGGACAAGATCCACAGAGCTTTGAGACATTCACAAGCTGCCAAGCTAAAGGCTAAAGGCAAAGAGTTGGGACGGTTCCCGTTTACTCAATCCCAACCTGCGGAGTGGAATTAGGCCCCCCCCCCCCCACCAAGGTTCAGATCAGGACACACTTTGTCCCATTGTCCGCAGGCAAACCTGCTTCAGGCTAATGCAGATCAGGGGCTGTGAGGGGATGCTTGAGGTTCAGGCCATTTCAGAAGCTACAGGTAATTTCACACGAAGAGCACATTTCATTACTTACTGTTTTTACAGGATCGAAAGCCTGTTTTCTGTGTATGAACTTGCAGACTATTTCAATAATAAATATTTGAACAACAGCTTGGGGCAAATGGAAAATTCTACGTGTTAAAGCAGAGGGACTCTGACTGTCAGTGTATCAAGCTGTTCACAGTGGGTAAGGTGAGGGACCCCAGCTTGTTCTCAAATGAAGACTAGCATGGGCTAAAAGGCTAATTAAAGATTGGGGGGGTTGGGGGGGGGGCAGGGGCGGCATCTGCGACGGCTGACACACACAACATCTCGCTTTAAAGAAACAGCCAGCCCCCAAATGAAATGGAGAAAAGGTCAATCGAGGTCAAGCTGCTGCTCCTCCCCCATCTCCTGGCCACTCCCACTGGGAACCCGTGGCCAATCGCAGGTGTTCGGAGGCGGAAGGCTTCCTTGCACCCAGCAATCGCATCATTGTTGTGGCCACGCCCTCATCTAGCAGAGTGACAAGATTCTTAAATCTGAACCCCCCCCCCCCGTGCTCAGTGCCTGGGCAGCACGTGGGTCACTGTGCTACCTGCTGTCACCTTACTCTCTAGCTGTTCATGTGGGCCACTGGGGGGGGGGGGCCTGCCTCCCAGTGGCATTCTTGACCCTCGCCATGGTGACGGCAAACTGCCCGACACCACAACACGATGGGGGGGGGGGGGGGGGGGGCGGGTAGACAAGAAGGAGAGGTGAAAAACACAGAGACAGACACTGAAGAGCAAGAAAGAAAGGAAGAAAGAAAAAGAAAGAAAGAAAAAGGAACACTGAAACAAGGAAGTGAAAAGGGCAGAGAGGAGAGTTAAAAAAAAAAAAGCAAAATGAATGGATGGGAGAGAAAGAAAAAGAGAATCAGAAACTCCAAATTTCTCAAGTTTATGCGAAGCAGCAGAGTGACCCGGAAATTCAGGGCACCGGTGAAAGTGAAAACAGGACGGTGATGGCAGGGGAAGGACCCCATCATACGTAAGATGGCCTCAAACAGCCTGCGGGTGGCGCTCTTCTGGAGCCATAAAGGCGTTCCCTTTATAGGAGTTCGCTGGGAAATTAAAGGCATTCCTGCAGTAAAACCTGATAGGTGACCGCGACTCATCTGCTCTGTTCCACAGGGGTCCTCGATAACCTCCATCATCACCCCCCCCCGCCATAGGCTGAGGGAGAGAAACCCAATAGCGCAGCTCTGAATGGGCTGATTGTTCGCATGGACTTGGGAGGATTGTGTCGCACACAAAAGTGGGTAAACTTGATAGGAGGGGATCAGGAAGCAGGCAGTTCAATTAGGAACAATCCGGCCTTCGTGGGTGAGGCAAGGAGGGGCTCAAACTCCACCCACACACACACACACGGGTCCTCCTTCCAGTTTTCTCTGGACACAACAAAAGGTTCTCGCAGAGATGACCGGGTTTCCCAAGGATGCCACAAAGACGGACGTGTCCCACAGCCTACCC